CTGCTGCGGCTTGAGACCAAAGTACGAACAAAGCTTTCTTGGCTACCAACTCCTAAAATTAAAGAAAAAAAGACAAACCCAAACCAAGAGCCCCCACTTCCTATGGAAATACGTGTCTGTTTCGGTAGAAAGGAGAACTTTTCTTCTTTTTGCCCCAGTGGCGATGGAGACAGATCCTGACTACCCAAGTCTTGAAGCACTCCCATCATACATCTTTTCTAACTTCTTGTGTTGCAGGTCGAAGCTCGCATGGCAGGCACTGCGACAGATGTGTGACATTTGCTGTTGCATAGCTATGGCCTAACTGAAAGCGTCCACGTTTCGAAGTCCCCTTCTAAATGTGGTAGGATATAGCTAGAGAAATATTTGATCATGCATCTTCTCCTGAGATAGGTAAACAGAATGCAATATATTTTAAGCTGTTTGGCTGGAATTTTTTTTTTCGTTGTTTTTCTTGTTACTGTTTTTTATGAGATTCAGAAATAAGCATCGTTTGCTGCATTTTTGATTTTTGGAGAGAAAAAATATAGTTCATCCTGTTGTGCTGGCAAGAATTCTGCCCTTCTTTGGTTTATGTAACACTTGGGTGCTAACTGGTGGCTTGTTTCTCTGAGCAGTTTTATACCTGAGTGTTTTATACATGTTATGACCCTGCAGCATATAAGGCTGAATGCATTTGTAGTGCATTGTATTCCACTTGCTGTTATTCATGCTGTCTTCCAAATAATGGTCACGGATAAAAATTTACAGCAATTCTACACTGTATTGCATTGATTTTTAAATTGCTCTGAAAACATGGAGAAACTCAGTGTCGCAAAGTGTAGTATGAGTAGTAGTGATAACACTGTCATAAATTCTTCACTGTCTGCAATACTGAAAATGAAGGAGAAGTGTAGGTTTGTTTCCTTTCCAAGCAGGCGCAGAGTCTGCCAGCACAAATACTGGTAATTGCAATTTGGGCATTAGGGGTGGGGGCTTGCGTGGGGGAGATGGTATCCGTGGCCACCTGTTCCTGCAGGGTAACTCTGAAGCTGTCGCCTGTGTTGATGGAAATGCGAGATTGGGGACTGGAGTTTCAGCTATTTATTTTCTTGCAGATTGTAAGTTCAGTTGACTCATCGTTGTTTGAGTGCAGTGATTGACACATCGTATTCTTTGTATTGCATAACTGTGAGTGATCAGAGCTGACCATTTTTTTTCCAAACTATGAGTCAAAGTGGTTTGGGGGATGATTCTGAAGCTGTAAGCAGCACTTTCTAGAGTCATGCAGCTCCTTGGGTAAAGAAACTACCCTGTACTGTCCCCTTACAAGATATTTAAGCTTGTTTCCACTGGCTGGAATTGGCTGTGACTGCCATTTTTGTAGATCTGGACTAGGGATTAGAGAATTTTTGCAAAGAATCAAATTTTAAATTTTTGAAACAGAGTTTTATAAAACTGAGGACCTGCACATCTTTAAAGTCGTATCTGAAATAGGAAGGAGAGCTTTTTACTGCAGATTTGGTATAAACACCATCCAAGAAAGTAATTGCACTCTTAAAAGTTGTTCGGTGTTTCAATATTTTGGTATAGAGGAAGTGAACTTTTGGATTACATGCTAAATATTAAGTAACATAAATAGTAGGGACAATACTGAAGTATATTTTCCCTCTTTTTTTTTTTTTAACAGCTACACAGAAGGGATATTTTCTAGAAAAGTGAAGTTGGAAGATCTCTGTGACCAAGAGAAGTGTAAACATGTTGTGCTGGGGAAATGCATCTTTTGGACAGCTTGGATTGGGTGGAATTGATGAAGAGATTGTTTTAGAACCCAGAAAAAGTGACTTTTTCTTAAATAAAAGGGTCAGAGATGTAGGATGTGGACTGAGACATACTGTTTTTGTCCTGGATGATGGGACTGTTTATACCTGTGGATGCAATGATCTAGGACAACTAGGCCATGAAAAAGCCAGGAAAAGACCGGGTAAGTTTAGAAGTACTGAATTGTGGAGAGTACGTGCAGTTGCACATGTTTTTTTATTTTATTCTTCTTTTTTGTTCCATTATGCTACATCAAACCTAACATCGGTAGTGTCCGTACACGTGCTGAATTGTATGCGCAGTAGTTTTTTCAAGATGAAAATCGTGCCTTTGCTTTGATCGCGTCTTGTGAGAGTTGGAAACAACCAACTGTGAAATGTGGCCTTACCCCATATTTTTGCCTGCCCTGCAGCTGGGCAGTGCCAGTATTTTTTATTTCCAGCGTGGCGTCACCTTACCTAAGGCTTGGGAGATGAAGTGGCTGCTTTTAATTTCAAGGGGAGGTGACCTGCTTTAATACATGCATTAGCATTGTACTGTATGTATGGGTTTGGCTTCTGGAATACAGTAGGAACGAATAGTTGGCATACCGTAGTTGGGAAACGTGCTGTGTGGATTTAATAGTCTAATGCGTGATGTAGAGCAGGTCTGATTGAAGCAGTGTTCTCAATTTTATTTTTTGAAGAACTAAAATGAGAACTAAAACTGAGGCTTTTGATAAAAGACTTTTCAGTGTACACAGTGCTATAGGAAGAGGTTTTGGAAAAGCCCAGAGGATGCAGTGTAAAACTTCTTTAGGCTTTTTTTCTTCCTATGTATGTTACGTACATGTTTCTGGCTCCTGCTAGTGCGGTTCTGTAGCAGAAGCGGGTAAACATCTTGCAGGGACTGCAGAGGAGTGCGCACATGGGCTCCTTTCAGGGCTGTGCATGTGAGTCATGTCTGCGTGCTGCTGAGAAATACGGAACAGTGCTGCTGACAGGACTTGGAGCACAACATAAGCAAACCGAAAAGGCTTAGTAACAGTTTATTCTGATCACTGCCATAGCAGTTTTACAAGTTACTTGGTATAGTAATTGGTAACAAATATTTCAGATGGAAATAAGACATTATGCAATATTTTAGTAGTTCTCCTTCAGAATTCCAGGTTTGGTGCCAAGTAAAGATTTTTTTGTGTAGTTGATGTGTAACTTTCTGAAGCTAATTTGAACTTCTATTGGGAAATAGTAGATGGATATTAAAACTGATAAACCTTAATCCTGCGCAAACATTTGCTTCATGAGCATGACTAGAAATGCAACTTGTCGTACTTATTCTGAATGCTTGTTACCCGCTTTGAAAATGATGCTGAATTGTCTTTTGAATCTAAAAGTTACAACAAAAATACCTGACTTACAAGTTTTGGTATTTTAAAAAGCCTTGTATGAGCTTTCATGTGTGATGGACAAACACCTACTATACGTCTTTTTTTTTAACATGCTCAGACACAGAAGGCATGAGGATTGCAGTGTCGTCCTAATTTTCTTTCAGCCGGAGGTTACTGACAGTACTGTCGAATGTTCTGGCGTGAAGTCAGCACGTTGGGATAACTTTACTTGCACGCTCTACAGAGGCTCAGTATCTTTTTAAAAACGGGTGGATGCTCTCTTTTGACTGTCTTTCTGCTAACCAAAGATAGCTTTGTCCCTGACTGCATGTCTTTACCACCTCTGTGTCACCAGCGGCACTGCTTAGCTGTGCCTTCTCTCTTCACTCTGCACAGAGCTCTGTTTGCCATAGAGATTGTGTTCCATAATCCATATTAGGCAAAGTCAGCCTGGCTAGTTTGGCAGCTGGTGAAGATAGTCTGAGCTAATCTGTGTGCCAGTGCCCGAACTGGAGAGCACTTACATGACCTCTTCCATTGGCAGAGCTGCGGAGGCCATAGTGGGCTGAATTGGAATGGTAACCTCTTTAATGAGGCTTACTGTTAAAAACATGAATTTAGGTCTGCTGCCTGTGCTTCTATATTTTGGAAACTGAGCGCCCCGAAATGTTGCAGATAGTTAGCTACTGTTTTGAAATGGACTTGTTTACAGCGCGTGTTGCGTTGGTGTTACACAGGCTTTTTCAGTAGCAATTCTTGGGCAGGAAGAGAACATTTCAAACTTAGATATTTGAAAACTGGGCATAAAATGTCCAAGCAGGCTCTTACTTAAGGGGAAAATTCTGTCCTTAATGACCTGCCTTGATGATATTTGTCCACGTTGCTGTTGCTGAAATGAAAACGTTAAGACTTCTGTTAACAAATCTGAAGCAGGAAAACAATGTTTTTCCAAATGAATTTAAAGGTATTGCTGCAGGCTGCTGGGAAAAAATCATGGCTATTTAAGTGTTTTCTTTTCAGAGGCATGCACTGTATATCTAGAAAAATGACTCTTTAGGATCTCATTCTACACTATTTTGCTTTAAAAAGAGGACGTTGTATAGCTCATTGCGAAATCAGGAGCTTTAGTCTTTAATTTGCCTTGCCTTGTTTTGCGGGCTTTTTTGTTAAAAATGAATAGGTGAATTTAATTTGCTGTGGTGGAATGTTTTCCTCTTACATAATGTCTACACATGTAGTCATTTGACAATAATCTCTTTGACCTTAATGTTAATTGAGTTTCTGCACTCATTTTCAGATGGTGAGATTCAGGGAACCGTTATGATCAAGCTGCAGTTTTTGTGCACTCCTGTATATTGCTCCAGATACCGTTGCTGTTTGGTGACTTTGGAGTGTCAAATTTAGCTTACTTCTCCTAGAATAGCATGCTTGTAATTTTAAGTAAAGGATGTTTTGGCAGACTTCTGGGCTTGCTTCTGCGCCATTTCCACGTTATACCTTAGTACCGAGTATTAGCGGTTTTGAGCAACACTAGCTTGTTAATAGCTTTTTTTTTTTAAACAACTAACTTCCTTTTTATTTTTTAGAGCATGTAGGTGCCCTGGATGCCCAAAATATTGTTGCTGTGTCATGTGGAGAAGCCCACACGCTTGCATTAAATGACAAGGGTCAGGTCTATGCTTGGGGTCTGGCTACTGATGGACAGCTTGGCTTGCCGGGAACAGAGGAATGCGTCAGAGTGCCCAGGTTAAAAATTATTAGTATATGATAAGTTAATTTTTTTAAAAAGAAAAACTACTTAAATCACATTGGTGAAGCTATTCTGCTGTTGCACTTTCTCATGTGTGTTTTTAGTTACATTTTAGCTACAGCACTTGCATGCTGAAGACAGTTTCCTTTCTCAAAAAGTCACCTCACATGAGAAGTGTGTTGCAGGTTTGCTTGGGTTGGTTTGTTCAGTTGGCTTCGTGATTTTTTTTTTTTCCTTTAATGCTCATCTAGTAAGAGTGAGAGTTGGAAAAGTAGGATAAATATTTCAAGAATGTAAATAGAGATTGATAACTGCCATTTCAGAGAAGTTGGAGAGATACAGTCTTAAACTTTCAAAGCTGATTGTGGGACTGAGTTTGAAGAGGGTATGTTTGTGATTTTCTCCTTGTGCACCAGTTTTCACCTTCAAGTTTTTTAGGTGTGATGAGATAATACATCTTCGAGTTATAAAAGTGAAGGCTAGCCAGATTCAATTGCTTATTTTCAGAATGCTGTAAGCATTCCAGCTAGCTGGACTCCCCATTTTTACTGTGATGAATAGGTTTACTGAAACCACAACAGACAGTTCCGTTAAGTTTGTATGTTTGCAACCTGGAGGTTTTCTTTTCTAATTCTGTTTTTTGCTTAGGAAAAAGACACATGAAAGGAACAGTTCCTCGGGACATAAGTAATCTATAACTTTATCCTGGCTATCTGTGAGGAAAGATATAAATAACTAACTCAAAGGTTTTTATTTCTGTATCAAATTTAAAAGTGTATAGGGCTCTTAAAATCTCCTGGTTTTCTCATAGAAAGTTGAAAGCAGACAAGATTTAATGCACCTTTGTACATATTTCCAATTTGTAGTATTGTGTAATACTTAATAGTTCTGTAAACTGAGGTGTAGATTTTAGTTAACGTTGGTAGAGGTGAAAAATTGAGTGTTGAGGTTTTAACAGAGAGTAATGTAATCTTTAATATTGATATGAAGAATGATTGTAAACCCTTATTTTTGTTTGATGTCTATGAAGTAAGAATTGTTTTCTTGTGTCTGGTGTTAATTTCCTCCTTTCAGCTACGTGATATCTCCTTCCTATTACATGAACCTCCCTAATGCTTCATTATAATCTTTTACTGACCTTATTAATTTGAAAATAAGACAGAACCTGCCCTTGAAAGTATTGAAAAAGAAACAGTTTTCACGTAAAACTTTGCTAAATAGCTTCTGATTAAAGTTAGGGTATTAGTTTCATATATGCTGCAGTGTATGTTAAATTTTGGCATGGTATTATATTTCATAATGTGACCTACTAGCCTAATTATTTTTGTCTATTTTCTTACCCCAATAGAAATATTAAAAGCTTATCAGAGATCCAGATTGTTCAAGTTGCTTGTGGTTATTATCACTCACTAGCACTCTCAAAAGGTAAGCCAAAATATTCTGACTTTTTTTGTTATTTCTTGCCGGGTAATTCTAAAGGTTTCAACATTTGTTTCGTCCGTCTTTAGCAGGATTTTTTTTTTTAAAAAAAAACAAACCTACGCTACCACTTAACACAGATGGGATTTCAGATTGTTAGGGGAAGTGTGATAGAAGGTTGCATTTAAAAAATAACTATACAAAAAAATGTTGTGTTATTCTACTTTTTTCCTTACTCTGTCTCTTTTTATCATCTTGCTTTCATGTAACTTCCTTTCTAAGTTAATTTTTGTTTCTCTCTTTTTTTTTTTCTCTGGTCTCATTTCTTTCTCATCCCGCTGGCATGCTGCTTTGTCACTGGTCTGTTTTAACCTGTAACTTCTGAGCTGCTGAGGCCTGTGGGCAAGGACTTCCTTGGCTGCTTTTCTCTTGCAAAGGCACTATTTGATTGGTGCTTCTACAGTTAAAATGTAACGTCAGGTTATAACCCACCTTTTGAAAGGTTTAAACATCTGTCTTCAAAATTTTACTGGGGCTACAAGAATATTCTTGCCTTACTCCTGTACAAGTATTACATGCCTAATTAGTATTTCTCTGCAAAACTAAATATGCATTTAAATCTACCGCTTTTTTGTTTCATTGTGACAAAGGAGAGTTGTGGCCAAAACTTCCTTTTGGGAGAAGTGGCTGCTGGACAGAGTTAATGGAAACTTAGAAACTCTGACCAAAAATTGCAGGAAGATTGTAGCTTGTCAGTGTTTCTTAACAATATGTGGTTAAAAGATGAACTAAACGAGCTGTGGGGAGGGAGGTGTTAGTTGTATGCCAAATGATTGCTTGTTTTCCTTTGAATAGTTGATACTGAGTATACGTGCTTTAATTCTGTACATGACTTCTCATGGGCTCACAGTAAGTGTTGCCTGTGCCATGATGTATTCCTGGGTGTCTTCGCCATTAGAACCTGGGGAGCTTCCTTTGTTTTCAACACAGGCAGGCACAGACTAACAAGTAACCCTTCACTTGGGTTAGTATCAACAGCACAGCCTGCAGAGTATCAGAATTGTGCTGTTAAGTGTTCTGTTGGTCAAAGGTCTACGAATATAATAGGAGTTTAATTTAAAACTCAGTGTTTTAAATAGTTGCAAGCTTCAAGTACAGCATCACTATCCTATTGTCAGTTCATGGATTTTCAGCTCTGTGTTTCTGTTCTTTGCCTTCGCTGCAGAGTGTGGTTAATTGCTTGGTGGGGTTTTTGTTTTGTTTTTTTTTCTTATTATTCTTTTTTTCCTAGTTGGAAGAGAACCTGCAGAAATACTTGTTAAGTAGCACGTGATGGCCTTAAAAATAGACCCATGCAGGGAGGAAAATGGGGTGAACTTAACCTAAATCAGGTGTTTCGAGGAGAGACTTTGTAATATTTTTAAACCTGTACCTGGGATATTGATCAGGTGGATTCATTCATGTGATTATTTTGTTTAAAAATGGTGGGCTTTGCCTTTGATCTGGTTGAGTTTGGTTTGATTATTGTTATTTAAATAATTAAAAACTGAGATCCATACCCCAGTGAATGGGTTTCATTGTTTTCCATCTTGACAAAACTGTTACTGGGAAGATGGAGGTAGGAGGGAATGGAAACATGTTTGAAGGTAACGTTACTGTTTGAAATGTATGTCAGCAAAGGCAAAATATTTTTGTGATTAGATATTGATCTCTAGGGTGGTAAATACAGTTGTTCAGCAGAAGGTTTCATTTTGGAGACAAGGTAAATAGCTCTGATTTGTAATTCTTCAAAATGTTTTTTCTTTATAATGCATCAAATAATATTGTAAACTTGGTGCTTCGTTGATGATATCATTAATGCAGTATTTTAAAATACTGTCACTTAAATTATATGTGAAAATGAAGTGTGTTATGCTATGTTAGAATAACTGAGGTTTGTAACTGGAAATTGGAAATTTTTGCATGTCCATTATGCAACTTGAGCAAGATCTTTGTGTAGAAATACACGCAGCAGTGGAAATCCCACTGTAACAGCATCTTGTTTTGTGATAACCCAACTCAAGATTATACAAGAATGCTTAGTTCAGCAGTCAGTCATTTGTATGCATTTTGAAACTCAGAAATACTTGAGAAGTAATGGTCTTTTTAAGTTTTCTTACAATGAATAAACTCTAGGTAATTAAACTATATTGATTGCATTTCTTAGGTTTTGTTTGTTTTCTCATTCAACAGGAAGTGAAGTGTTTTCCTGGGGACAAAATAAATATGGCCAGCTGGGCTTAGGTTATGAGTATAAAAAACAGAACTCGCCACATGTTATTAAATCTCTGCTGGGAATCCCATTTGCACAAATTGCAGCAGGAGGAGCTCATAGCTTTGTACTAACTCTTTCTGGAGCCATTTTTGGATGGGGACGCAACAAATTTGGACAGCTGGGTCTTAATGATGATAATGGTAAGTAAGCCTTACTTTGGTACAGTTTCATGCTGAAGGTCTTGGTTTGTGCCTCCAAAGGCAGCACTATTCCTCGAAAAGGAGCAGACAGAACAAACCTTTGCACACTGTCAGGGAGTGCTGATGTCATGTAAGATTGCATAAGGAAGACTTTTTTTTCCTGAACTCGTTTGTAGTGAAAATTCTGACAGTGTTATGTTGAAATTTGAGCCTGCTTGACTTGTTTTCTTTCTCTGTTCTAGATTTTTCTGTTACTTCAATTTTCTGAATGTGATTGAATTAAGATACTGTGCAGTAGTTACAGCTTGAACTGAATTTTAGGTAGATGAAATTGCTTGACAGCACCAGTAACCTATCAAAACTGTTTGTCCTTAGTAGACACACTTATGGCATCTTCATCGTTTTACTGCCATGTGGGTATCTGCCTTTCTTGGGCCACTTCTCATCATCATTCACAATTTTTAGCTAACCATTTCCAAAATTTCCTCTACCTATGGTGTTGATACTCATTAACGGTTTTAAGCAAGTGGTTAGATTAGACAACATTTTTTTTTTCTTTCTTAGTTGGATTGCATTACACTCATGCTATCCATGCACAGGGCTCTGAGATAGGAGTATATGCTATCACCTTCCTGTAATACACAGTTTCGTATAGAATAATCAATAGCTTATTTGATGAATTCAGGTTTTCTTACTGGTTCATTGTTCTCAAGACCATTTAAAATAAGAAGAATGTGTTGTAGCTAAAATGCGTATCTGAATTAACACTTTAAATCTGGTCACGTTCATGTAGTAAGAAAATTAGACACCTATTCCAGGAATCAAATTTTCATGAGAGGCTTCGGTTGCATCTATGTATTCTTTGGAATAGGTGCGACTCCAGTTTTTATAAAACATCACTGCTTGGTAAACCCTGTTTTTTATGTCTTGATAGGGCTTCTTCCAGGCACCTTGCCATACCTGACAAATTTTAAGACATTAGTATTAACATATACAAAAGCTGCATTTGTGCAGCTGGATGACACAGCTGATTTGTTCTGGTGATGGAGGGAAGTTCGTTCTGCTTCCTAATTATGAAGCGTTCTATTCTGTTATATGTCTGGTCGTACTGTGACGAATTCGTACCGGCTTACAGGAACACTTAAATGGATCAAGCACACAAACAGCTCAAACCAACTGTTTTGTTTTCTCATGGCCAGTAGCAGATCTGATTTCATGATTTTTTGTATTCACACGTGTTCCTGTGCTAGTGAAAATGAGATGATTGGCTAGTATTTCAGTGTGGTAGTCTTCCTGTTTTCTTGTGATAACACCTCCATCTCAGAGATACATAAACTCAGTCACGATGATTGCATTATACCAGCAAATATCAAGTGCTTTTTTGACTGGAACTGAATGAGCATACATGAGCAAAACTATTGGTTTTCTTGATTTTTTTATATTTTCAAAATAAGCAGTCTACTGCTGTATAAAACCTTTCAGACAGGTATGTTCCTACACTGCTGAAGTCACTGAGAACTCAGAAGATTGTTCATATATGTTGTGGAGAGGATCATACTGCTGCCCTTACAAAGGTAAAATATTTTAAAATATGTTTATGCTTTGATATTTTTAGTATTTTCAGAAAAAAAATACTACCTGAATAGAAAATAATAGAAAATTCTACATGATGAAATTTCTTCAAAGCTTATCGAATGAAGTTGAGGAAACACTGGAAGAACGGTTACATATTTGGAAAAAACCTGCCAAATATAGGAAATCTTTCAATAGTTTTAAATTGTTGTCAGATATGGTGAAATTTGGCATACAAAATACAGCCTTTTTGCTATGACAGTGCATGTTGCGTTATTAAAATCATGCAATCGTTGAAATTTGCATTAGCGTGTCCTAAAGAGATTAGCTGTTTTCTGACTGTAACGCCTCTAGCATTGCTGGTACCGCTGATCAAATCAAGTTAATTTTTATTTGAAATTCAGCGCTGGGAGGACTGATGTGTGTGGCTGTTTAAAGTTTTTTTAGTAAAATTCTGTTTGCTGTTGTGGCGGGCTGACCCTGGCTGGAGGCCGGGTGTCCACCAAGCTGCTCTAGCACTCCCCTCTCCTCAGCTGGACGGGGGAGAGAAAATAGAAGGAAAGGCTTGCAGCTTGAGATGAGGACAGGGATATCAAGCAAGTTGTTAACCACCTTCCCCACACCTCTTCCTTTCTGTGCTCAACATCACACCCGACTTCTCTGCCTCCTCTTCTTGAGCGGCACCGGGTTACAGGGAATGGGCGTTGTGGTCAGTTCCTCACACCTTGTCTTGGCTGCTCCTTCCTCCTGGCTCTTTGCCCCTGCTTTCCTGAGGGGGTCCCTCCCATGGGAGATGGTCCTCCACAAACTTCTCCAGTGTAGATGCCGTTAAGATACTGACTTTAGTGTAGATTTTTCTACAGTTATTTATCTCTCATTTGAATAGCTCCAATTTCTGTTGCCTGATAGGCCTGGCGGAATGAGGGGTCTTGATTTATATCTTTTTGTAGGCAGTGCTGTGTGTATGTGAGCATTCTTCACATCCTTCTGGAATTCAGAAAAACCTGTCGCTGTTTGTTAGCCTGGTTCAGTGAATGAGGCTGTTGATTTTTCTCAGTGGATGCTGCCATTTTCATGATGCTTTTCAGCAGAGGTCCACCCTGATGCAGAGCAGAATTGACCGAAAGAGCTTTACAATTTCAAAGCATTTGAAAATGGAAAGTTTCAAAGTTGTCGTAAGGTGTATAACTTATGAAACTGCTTCTGATTTAACATTCTTTCATTAAAGTTTTTGGGTAATATCTTGATGAAATTAATCCAAAACACTTTTACAAATTACATGCCTTACAACAAAGCTGATTTTTTTTCCTAATTTCTTATACTTTCAAGTAATGAAGCTGACTGCTTCAGTCATGCTCTGCATCATCTGCCTGAGGAGGGCAGCTTCCTATTTGGTAATTGCTTTAAAATTTGTATTCAGAACTTAAAAGCCAAAGTATATAAACTCACATCATTGAAAAGGTATACTGTTGTAGTTCATGAAGAAAACTGGAAAAGAGGAAAACAAAGATGATGACACAAGTTAGTGGTAGGACTATTGTATAACAATATGGAAATGACAGGAATGCATTTTAACACAGATAAGGTGGGACTGGATGGTTGTGCCACATTTTTGTAACAGCAGTTAACTTGTGACCCTGCTGTGTCTCAGCGCCCTCTTGTGCGTGTATATTTTCTCTCCTTTCCCCACAGTTCCAAAATCATCGGACAGATTTATTAAACCCCTATTTCTGTAAAGTTTCTTGTTCTGAGACGTACTGTCATGTTAATGCAAATGATTTATTTGTTTAGGAAGGTGGGGTTTTTACATTTGGAGCTGGAGGCTATGGTCAGTTGGGTCATAACTCTACCAGCCATGAGATAAACCCAAGGAAAGTTTTTGAGCTTATGGGAAGTGTTGTCACCCAAATCACTTGTGGCAGGTAAGTTCTGTTCTGTGTTAGAACTGTGCGTCTTACCAATAACTAGTTTTGTATAAAACTTCATATGCATTGCAGTGTGATGTGGGTTTCTTACCCTCTGTGGTTAGGGAAGACAAGATGCTGTCTAACAAAAGTTATTCAGAGACCTTACTGGGATTTTTAAAATATTCAGTACAAGAGCTCCATTTGAGAGGCTCTGATTTCCTGAATTGAAAGGGTGAATAATCAGTGTGAAGGTAGTGTTTATTGCTGTCATTTTATAATTTCCTGTTAAAGAACAAATGTGTTTGAGGAGGTATGTGAGCGTAAGTGTGAAGCTTGGAAACATAACTTGTTTTGTGAAATACGTCTAATACTGTACAGCACTTCAGTTCCTAATGACTTGTGTTGTATATATTGTAGTAGCACTCAAGAAATTGAAAAAAATACCAGCACACATGAAAATGCTCTTATCCAAAGAGTTTAATTCTAAGACAACAAAATGAAGGAGGCAATGTAATTTTCTAAGATACTTTAATGCTTTGTTGTTTAGGTTAAAAAATATGTAAGTGTAAACCTATCTTTCTAGCAATTTGGTTGACATTGATTGGGCCCATGTAAACACAAATTCAGTACTGTTTTTTTCCCAGGCTTCTGATAGGAGAGAGGGTGTCTAGATTTAAGAAGTATAGCAAGGGAGGAGAAATGCAGTCAGCCTGGTAGAAACTTCAAATTTCAGAATGTCTAGAGACATACCAGTAAGGTCAGACTGTGACTAAGCAAAGGTTCAAGGCAGAACCTGGCATCTCCCTTCTGGGAACTTTTCCATGGAAGTGGAATATTTCCTAACGGAGTATAGCTGGAGCGCTGCCAGGGGCAGAGCGGTGCCAGTAGAGCGGCGAGGTGGTTGATGCACTGGGACCTTTAACACACACTGTTCCACACAGTTCTTAGGCTGGCCTGCACAAAGCGTGCTACAGTGCTTAAGTTTTTGTTACTGAATTTTGTTTGCCCTAGGCAGCACACTACTGCGTTTGTTCCTTCATCTGGAAGAATTTATTCTTTTGGACTCGGAGGTAATGGGCAGTTAGGTACCGGAACAACCAGTAACAGGAAAAGCCCCTTCACAGTGAAAGGAAACTGGCTTCCCTACAGTACCCAGTGCCCGATAACCACAGGTAAGCTACATCTGCCCTATTGACTGCTTGGATACCTGTTCCTTTATAGTCCCTTGCAGATCTTGTGATTTAAGCTAAGTGTGGACTATGTTCACTTTCTTCCAAACAGTTTATTGTCATTGTGCTCTATTCCCTAAAGTCCATGTCTGCTGTAGGAAATCCATCCTTACTTGTGCGTTGGGTTAGGTCCTTTGTTAGCACTGGAGATAAAACTTAGAGCCATGTTTACTTCTGTTAAGGATAGCCTGGACTATTGTATTGCGAAGATCTGGTTCAGTGGGGTTACGTAACAAAGGAACCTTTTTCTAATTGCATGTTGATTGCAGTGTCTTAATCCAAATTCACATTTTCACAATTGCCTTTTTCATTTTTTATTCCTATTTCAGACAGTGAGGAGTGTTACTGTGTAAAGAGAATTTTCTCTGGTGGGGACCAAAGTTTTGCACACTACTTTTATCCACAGGTAACAGATTAAATATATTTTGGTTCCAGAGTCTGTCAAAGACAAATTTTAGTTTTTGAGATGTGTTCTGGAAGACTTTCATACTGAAGGTGCCTGACTGCATTGTAAAGTTCATGAGAGTAGGGCAGAAGCACAAGACACCAAGTCAATTTAGTAGTTGGAGGACTTGGATCCAGTTACTGAGTGTTAGTTGTTAGTAAGCTCTTTTTGGCATAAGCTTTCTTCCTTCCCTTAAGGAAAACGTGACTGAATATTTGAGTTTTTCACCCCTGCCCAGTTGCTCTACATCCCTGCTTCTGACTGCAGCTTTGCTGGCTTCTGCTCTGTAGCCATTTCTTGCATCATACCACAACGATGAGGAAACAAAAGGAGCTTTTTGCTAACAGTCACAGGTGGCGACATAGTTAGTTATGTACTGGTTTTATAGTAGTCTTAAAACTTAAATTTTAAAAGAACAAGAACTGATCTGTTGAAATTGTCATACAGAAGTCTGGAAAGACCTTACAGTAAAAAAGGCAATTTGAGAGCGTCATGGAAAGGAAACGCTATTAGAGGATGAGTTGAAAGGAAAAAACACAATGAAGATATATGGGGCAGTTTCCAGTGTAGCCTGGCAGATATTAGACCAGAGGGATTAATGAAGCACCAAGAGTTGAGTGTGTGGGGTGAAAACTAATTTGGACACAAAGGAAAACAGATTTTGGTGGGAAACATGTTTGTTGTCAAGAAAAACCGAGTACAGGTCAAGTTTACAGCAGCCCTTTGTTCCCACAGGCTGTTCTGGTTGTACAGAATCAACAATTTTTCAAGGTTGTGGGGTTTTTTGGTTTTAAATTCTGATTGGGTTGTGGTAACTATTGCTGTATTTGAGAGAAGCTTGTTTAGCAGGTAGTAGACTGGAAAAATTACTGATAATATAGTCTCAAAACTTCTCTATTAAAACTCCTGTCTTAAAAACTTTTCATGTGCAATTTTCATAATTACTGAAGTAGACTCTGACTGACTAATTGAGGTGAAGCAGAGACTGCATGAATGCAGTTATTGTGACTTGTTCTGTACAAAAATTGTTAGCAATAGATGAACTTTGATGCTGCAAACATATCCCTTTTAGTACTCCTTGGTTTGTTAATTTATATTGAATTCTTTCAAAGTTACGTGAGTGCTGTAGTTTGGGACTCGAGTATCGTTGCCAGGTGAGGGGTCGCAGCCAAAATCTGTTTGTTTTCTCTAGTTGGTTTAAGAGCAGCTCAGCTCCCTGAGTTGTTCCATCATGATTTCAAATGACACTTGGGCTGGATGCAAGAGAAATGGGATTTCTCATCCTGATCCTCTAGGACTTGGATTAGAAGCACTGGTTTTTGGCAACAGCTAGTCATCATGATGCTGAGTCAGCTATGTTGTCAGACTGCACCCACAGGAGAAATATGTTTCCTTTCACTAGTTTAACCTTAATTTTGATGTTCTTTGCCATTTCTTTCTGAACCAATGCCCCTGCTGAAAACAGTCGTCTTGGTTCTGTTCCTCTTTACTCTTGGAGATCTTACTGGAATTCATTTGGTATGAGAAGCAGATCAGAATGCTTCTGGCTCATCTGATGATGCGCGGAATGTTCAGAGAAACACGGTTTATTCTCGGAGGATTCTGATGGAGGTTGGGTGGGGGAACAGCTGTCCGAAAAATTGTATGGCTCCTTCTCTGCATGCTCATAGCTTGGTAGGGAGCTAAATGGCTCGTAGTGACTTGGGAGAGGAGATACTTACTACTCTTGTCTAAAGCTTGCTTAGTGTTCATCATAAAGAAAAGTACTACAGTGTGTTTAGGGAGTTCACCATTAAGTGTGAATTGACACGCTAATTTATGTTTTGAATGTATTCTCCACTGTCATAGTGAATACAGAACTGCTGGAAGATCCTTGAGTTTATATCGTGGTAATAGTCTGAGTAGGCAAATTTGTCAGTCAATGAAGAGAAAGAGCTCAACCATAGGATTGATTTTTTTTTTTTTTTTAATTATTTTTTTTCTTCCAGAAATTGATTTTGTGTGCTTGATTCTTTATGCTTTCTTTAAAATTTAGAACATGGTGCCACCAGATGATTTTAGGTATCCTGACTTCTTGAAGCAGATCTGGACTGTGAATGAAACATTTATTCAAAGATTGCTGACTTTCCCATCTGGAAGACTTCCTGTAGAGATAGCTAAGTAAGTGCTGCTGAGGAAAGAAGTTGTCTTTCGTAATTTTACTTTTGAATGGGACATTAATGGGGTGTTATACACACATAGGAAAGCTGGTTTTAATTACTGATGTAATTAGGTGCGCAGCTTTTGCTGTACTTTCATTGTCGTGCTTGTCAGGTAGTTTAGATCCTTTAGTCTGTCATCTCTGTCACAGTTTAAATGATTATACAAGATTAGTATCTAGTTGCACGTTGAAGAACAACAGTAAAGTTTTAGAAATATATGTAAAGGAACATAAGAACAACTCAGAGATTACTGCTTTTACTTAAGGGAGGATACAAAGAAGTTAGAAACAAATTGCAAGACTTACTTTGATTTGAGCTGTCTTAAGCACTAAGTGTTGAATGGAAGTTTTGTCTAGTGTTGTTTAGTCATAAAAAAGGCATAGAGTTCCATCTCAAATTAAATACATGGGTTTTTATTGCAAATGCTAATGTATAAAAAGAAAACAAAGCAAATGTAACTTACTTCATGTGAACAATTTCAGTGAAATTGATGGAACGTTCTCCTCAGCCGGGTGTCTGAACGGGAGCTTTTTGGCTTTGAGGTATGTAGCCAGGCTTCTAAACAAGCATTGCTGCAAGCAGAATTACTGGTACCTGCCTTCCTAGTGTCTCCTGTTTCAACTGTAACACCTTCTGGGTATTTCCTTGTCTTACTGTTACTGCAGTACCCGCAGTTTAGCCTCCTAGCTCTTGCGCTGCCGTGTGGTTTGTCAGCTGGCCCAAATGCAGCATGACTTCTGCCGCTCTTTGGAAGTGCGTGCTGCCTGGCTGCTACTGTGTAAGCCAGCAAAACTCGCTATTTCTCAACCACAGGCTGTGTATAATTCAAGGGGAACATATTGCACAGGCTGGTTTAGATCCTAGTGGGTTTGCATGATTGTCTTGCAGTCAGTGTTTTTTCTTCAGTTGCTTCAAAGGCCGTATAAGAAATGCAAGTCTGATACTGTGATCTTCCACGTTTTAATTCTTTAGTTAATAAGGCTAAAAATTCAAGGTGGAAAAAAATCCCCAAGTTGCCGAGAATACAGGATTCAGTCTCTCTCTCTCTCTAATTTTTTCTTTCTACAGCAATGATGACCATTACAAAACTAGCACTAGATTCTCAGGGGTTGATATGAATGCTGCTAGACTACTGTTTCACAAACTTATACAGCCTGACCACACTCATATATCACAACAGGTTTGTGCTGCGTTTTGTCCTTATGTTTGGGATTATCTTCCTCTGTCCAGAAATAGCATTGTTACGCTTGCTCAGACTCTTCTAATAACTTTCTTTACTCTATAATAGATCAGCTGCAAATATGTAAAATGGTATTATGACAATTAGGTAATGTGTCAGAGTGTTGTATTTTAATATTTCATGTATTATCTTTTTAAAATGTATAACAGTCTAAATTAAACCCAGTGTTTGTTTTCTAGGTTATCTAGGTGGGCATTTGATTAAATTCACAACTGCAGTAAAATAAACAGAATTTTATGATGTGCTGTAGGTGGCAGCTAGTTTGGAAAAGAATCTGATTCCCAAATTGACCAGCTCCTTACCAGATGTTGAAGCTTTGAGACTGTATCTCACTCTACCAGAGTGCCCACTGATGAGTGATGCAAACAACTTCACGACGTTAGCTATTCCTTTTGGAACAGCTATTCTAAACCTAGAGAAAGCTCCTTTGAAAGTTCTTGGTAAGAAACCGAATTCCTTACTGTTAAAACTAAGTATCTCCAGATGAAAATGTACAGAAATTCCATTGGTGAAGACATGGTTTCAGCAGCACTTGCTATGTATTTACTGTTCTGTAGGAGATTTCCCAGTGAGAAAGTGAAGGGTTAGTGTTGCTTGATGCATAAGCAAACATTCTTTTGCTTCTGCGTGAGTTAACTGGCCATCCGTATGAATTCATCTGGTATTGTGATTTTTGGACTGATTCCATTTGAGAGGAATTAAACTGTGTAGTTCAGTGTATTTGATACGTGTCTGTTGAGGCCAGGCACTGAGCGCTCACAGATGCTCTCTTGCCCCTCTCCCTCTCCAAAGGGAATGAGGCAGAGAGACTTCTGAATTGGAAAAGAAAGCTAAACAGCTTTAATAAAACAATAACAGGACTGATAAGGGAGTAATGAAAATAATAAACTATATACAAGTACATACAGACCCGATATTGAATCCGACTGCCCCCCCCGACAGCAGTCCCCAGTGGTGCCGCAGAGCTGGCAGCACTAGGGCAGCCCTGGGCTCAGTGGCAGAGGGAAAGGGGCACAGGAGCTGGATTTTGGGAACACAGAATCACAATCAAAGGCAAAAGGTCTGACGGAGCCCTCCTTGGACACCGCCCACTGAAGAAGAGACCTTAACCCCTGTGATCCCTCACTTTATCCCGAATATGGCGTACGTGGAGTGCAATACCTTGTTGGTCACCTGTCCGGTCTGTTCCTCAACCGTTACCTCCCTTTTACTTCCCGACACCCCCAGTGTGGCACACAAGATCCAGCTGTGACCTCGGTCACTACAGGAGCAAGTGTCAGCCAGAGCCTTTTGCATCCCCAGCCCTGGCAGTCCCTGCAAACACGGGGCGGTGTCACTGCCAGCAGCCGGCACCGGCCGCACCAGCACGCTGCTGGCTTCAGTAAGTGCCGCCTCTCAGAAGAGGCCGAGCTGGAAAGTAAAATCACTGAACAGAATTAGGTATGTTTAGCCCAAACCAGGACAGTGTCTTCACAGTTTTTAAAGTGAAAATTATATTCTCAGATAGCTAACAAGCTCTAACCAATTTACAGAAGTGTTGCAGAGCAGATGTTAAATTGTCTTTGTTTTAACTGCAGCAGCTGTTTTGTTGCTTCTGAGCAGTTTGTGTTTTCTCACTGATCCTGAGATGTGGTCTTCAAATATGCAGCTGAGAATTCCGTTTTTTTAACTCCCTTACACCTTCTTATTGTGACTCCTGTCACCTGAAACTCAGCTTAAAGAATTGAGGTTTCAGAATATTTCTTTTGTAGTTGGTATCTTTCTGAGAGAGTACTTTCTTCTTCCTCTTTTTTTTTTTTTTTTTTTGCCTTGTAACCCGTCTCTTGTGTTTTTCAGTAGTTTTTGGTGAGAGTAAAGAGCTTGCAAGGTGTAAGGAAAATCCAGCTGATAGTTTCTTAGACCTGTAGATCCTTTTCCATCCTTTACCATTGCTTCAGGTCCGCTTGTTTAAGTTAAGGTTTTGGGACTTGAGCCATCTGTTTTATGTCAAATATTGTTTTGTACTCTGGGTACTCTGGGTACTCTGGACTTAAAGAGTAGGTGTATAACCATAAAGCATTTGAATAGAGAAAAAGTAGTTTGCTGTTCAAAAGTCTGTGCCCCTCCAACTGTGTTAAACTTTTAGGGTTTTTTTAAGAGTCTTTGGCAACTGCCAAGTATCCTTTCTTGCAAAACACTTTTTTAGTAAGAAGGGTAGCATAATGTAATGTTGTAGGGCAAGTACTAAGTTCATGTGTTCGCTGTTTATTGGCAGAAAACTGGTGGTCTGTACTTGAACCTCCGTTGTTCCTCAAGATAGTTGAGCTCTACAAGGATGTAGTAGTCCACCTTTTGAAGTTGTGCAAGATTGGCGTTCCAGCTTCTGAAAGAAGAATACTTACGAATTTTCTACACACGGCTTTCAGAGTTCTGGAAATACTCCATAGAGTATGTTTACATCAGTTTTAATCAATTATTTACCCGTTTGGGTTTGCCAGCATCTGCGTGCTCTGTAGTTGTTAACAGAAGTTCAATTACTAGGGAGTTTTAAATGTTTAGACTTCCGTCTACAGAGGGGTCTGTAGTTGTTCATCTGGACCCACAAACCATTGGAATTCTGGATTCCAATCTGACATGGTGATGGAATTACCAGTTTTCTTGGGAACACAAACCGACCCAGTCAGTTGAATCTGTGAGGGTGTGTTAGAGTTGCATCGTAAGCTTGAAATGATAGCAAATAAGATCACAGATGGGGAAATAAGAACAGGCTGTGCTTTGAACAAGAAAGTGCTGCACAGTTTTACCAAGACAAACATTTATTTTCTTATTTGTTTATTCAGTTTGTTAGTATTGTAACTCATGAAAACTAATGAATTTATGAACTTTGAGGAAAAATAGCCCAAATCATTTGGGGACACCAGACTGCACATTATGAACATTACCTAATTTCTGTTCAGGTTTTTCCTCCCACCCTCTACTTTTTTTTCCCCTCTATAGTTTATTCTGGTCCTATGGCATTATAGCATTTTGTATTTATATGCTTAAATAATGTCCTAGGCACTTCTTAAGGTGCTGATCAAGTACTGTCTTTGTCTAGCAAAATGGGCACGGGTGTCTAAATTGGACCTTTTGTGCTACATGTACCAGCCCTCCGGCCCAGGATCTCAGAAGTAATGGAGAAGATTTCTTCTTTGAAAGTTGAAATTTCTATGCTGTGATTTGCTCAGCGCTTCTTTATTTGTTATGGAGACCATCAAATTAAGGCTGAGAATAAGACTGTTCAGGAACTATCTTGTGTTAGAAGCGCAAGATGTCCTTTGCAGATTCCCATATGGAAGGCTGCTGGTATAGAATAAATTACTGTTTTGCTGCCCTTAGGATGTCTGTCACTGCTCAGGCTTGCAGTGGCTGTAAGTCTTAACAGCTGAAGTTGATCTTACAATCTTAAAGCCTCGTGGGTACATGTAGAATTGTAATGTGGCTCTCCTAAGTTCCCTTGATTTTTTGTTTATTTGTTGGGGTTTTTTAATCTCAGCTTTGCCTAATATGTAGAAATAGTTAAATTTGTATCTACAATGCTGCGCAACTTTATATTGCTATATTCTTAGTAATCCGCTGATGTGGACTAAAGAGGTAAAAATGCGGTGACATGTCTGGGGTATCTCACAGATTTAGCATCTGGTGATTTGAGACGAGGGGATGATGGGTGAGACATTTGAGAAAAGTAGGCTTAGATTATCTGGTTGTAAAGACAGGGATGTTGCTGTTGTGGCAGATTATTTTTTTTAGTAGCTGGATAGCTGTGCCTGATATATCAAATGCTTGGAAAACATGGAAGATGTTCTTTTGAAAATTTTCATACAAAGTACTGATAAAAAATTAAATTTCACTACTTTAGGTAAATGAAAGAGGACAAGTTATACAGTATGACAGATTTTACATTCATGAAATACAAGATTTGATAGATATCAGAAATGACTATGTCAGCTGGGTCCAGCAGCAGGTGTTTGGAATGGTAAGTTGTGCTGGGTTTTGTTTGGGTTTTTGTGGTTCCCCCCCCCCTGCCGTGTTTTGTTTTGCTTTTGCCCCTTTAAAGAAGCCTATAGGTTCTCTAAATATGGACATGTACCTTTTCATAAAAGTATCTTTGCAGATCACTGAGACTCCTCTTATGTCAAGTGTTAGCTAAGGAAGAATTGTTGAAAAGGTGTGCTTCTTGTTAGGGTATCATTCTTAAGACTGACACTGCTCAACATATCAATCCACCCACTGAAAAGTAGTTTTGGATGCTGTCATTTGAGACTTGCCACGTCAAAAAAACTTTGGAAAGTGGTAATTTGTGATAGGAAACCATCCAGAATGACCTGAATTGCTATGTAAGGTAACTCAATCAACAAGAAAGCTGAAACTGCCTGGGAAAATAAAGTGCAGAAGCATAACAGAGAGCTACAGGGGACAGCTAACTAGCACAGTTTTCTACTTTGAGTATAGCAACAAGAACTGAGATAATTAATTTCTGGATCTGTAAACGGAAGAGTGGTAAGTGGGAGTCAGTTAATGACTGTGCAGAGGATTAGTTAGTTGGATAGGATTTTGCCACACAGATGTTTGACTTACTCTTTGAAAGAATATTGAGTAAGGTAATATCCTTCCTCTAGCCACCTAAATTTAATTTTTTTGCAGCAGTACCTTGAAGGTCCCAAGCATGGGACACCTACTTGTGCTGTATTTTATGAATACAAAACAAGTGATGGCGTCCACCAAAGAAATAAAATCACAATGTAAAATAACAACAGCAGGGAGGTTGGGGAGTGTGAGGAAATAATGAGTCGATGCTGGCAGTCATGACAAACATTTGTTTCAGCCAAGTTTGCCTGAAAATAATAATGGGGGTGTGATGTTGGCTGCTGCTGGTAGCTCAGAGGGGTGCGCTGCTGGGGTAGATAAAGAAGCTGGGGATAAGCACCACAGGGCCTTGGGATGAGAGACAGGTTAGACATTTGGAACAGAGCAGGGTGTGCCAGGGAAAGGTGCAGAAGTGGAATTGAAAGTACCATGAGCTTTGCAACTATGCCTTAAACGGATGTGTCATGATCAGAGAAGAAAATACTTAATATAGGAAAATGAGAGCTGGAAAATAGTTTTGTAATTCAAGCTGTAAGCTCCATTTGTTAATTAAATCAGAAGACGGAGCAGAAACTTGGCGTTACTGAGAAAATACTAGGTGCTGGATTTCCCTTTCGTCATTATTTTGACATGTATTTGTGCAATTTCAAGTTCAGCAGAAAAAGTTACTGTGATTTATTCTAGGACTAAAAGAAATTCCATAGTCTTAGTCTGATCTTCTTCATGAGTAGTTTTGATGGCCTTTTCCCACCTTCATATCCGTTAGTTTTCCTAGGGGAAAACGTAGAATAAAAGAGAATCTCAGACATATTCAGAGTACTCTTGGAGGGAAACTTGGAAGGAAAAAACTTCTGGTCTTTCAACAACAGAAAAATGAGTGGGGAAAAGCTGAAGGTGCTAAATAATGAACTGTTCAAGTTGATTTGAAGAGGTGTTGCTGAAATACAACTTAAAGGAGTAGAGAAAAAACATTTGAATTAGGAATAAATAACGGCAGATATAGTAGGAGTACAAAATTGCATAAATCTCCTTGTGACAAATCTGATGTTTCTTGTAGGAATTAGAGATACCGATAGGAAGCCAAGTATAGTGGCCATCACTCTCTGTGAGCCGTGGATATCTCAATATTTGATTTCTGAGTCTTTTATATACAAACTTAAAACCTATTAGTTTGTCATTAGCTTTTATTCTTTTCCTGTTTTCTGCCTACCAGGTGGAAACAAACTTAGCTTTCAGCGGAGGATAAGGAGGGTAACATAGCACCAGATGGATAACTTAGTTTCTTAACAAAGTCAGTGTAGCTCGTTGTGGAAGTCTCCACACAGTCCCAGCCATATGGATTGTCTGTCGCCAATTTTAACAGTCAGTGGCTTTTCTAAGGTTGTACTTTATCAGAGATCTAAATGTTTCTTGAGACTTAATGATGGGGTTCTGTTGTATTTTTGATTTTTTTACTCGTTAAAAATGTTTTGCCTTTAATTTGACTTGCTACAGTCATTTGGGAATGAAAATACATAGGTAAAGGTAGGTGTCATCCTGTAGTATCTGGAAGTAGACATTTAAAATAGTTTGAGTTTTGCATCCAAAAAAATGTGCTACTTCAGTGGTCCTTTTAAAAAAGACTGATGTGTAGGATGTCGAAAGGTTGTATTTGGTAGATTAATTGCAATGTTTATGGTTGGTATTTTTTTTCACAGTAAACATTTTGTTGGGGGGGGAGCTGTAGATAGATATTTTTGATTCTACATCAGAGACGAATAATTAATGCAGACACTAATGCTGCTTTTTCATCTTAATTATTGCTGCCTTTGTGCAAATGCTGTCATAGGATGTCAACCATGGATTAACTGAGGTAAGATTGGTTGCAATCTGATTTCTTTTGCAGAGTGTAAAGAAATCAGACATCTGAATGTCAAGGATTGTCTGATGTGTTCTTTTGGGTGCAAAGCCTTGTTAGCCTGGCTGTAATCTGAAAAGATTTTTGTGGGCCAAAAATAAGTAATTTTTTTAATTGCCAATTCAGAGCAGCATTTGAAAACAAGGACTACTTTGATAATACCTGCTTGCTGTAAGAAGTTCTGAAATTAAAATATATTAGGAGAGAGAGTGGTGTTTGTGTGTGGTTTTTTGTTTTGTTGTTGGTTGTTTTGTTTGTTTTTCTGAAATACTAAACAATTGAAAATCTACCTTATTTTCCTGAATGCTTTCCTCTTACACTGATAAGTAAAGATTTCTTTCTCTTCCCAGTAAAATAGATGTATTAAATAAGTAATATTGCAATGGCTTCTCTAACCATGATTGTAGGTTTTAAACGAGCAGTGCTATAACATGATTCTTTTCATTCTAGTTAACAGATATTCCTGTTACAATATGCACATACCCATTTGTGTTTGATGCCCAAGCAAAGACAACTCTCCTACAAACAGATGCAGTCATACAGATGCAGGTGAGAGTCTCAGGTTTTATTGTTATGAATTTTCCTTTTTTCTTTTTTTTTTTTTTTTTTGTTCGTAGTTGAGGGTCTTGGCAGTTGCTGTTGATATTGGTTTTTGTAGGGTTTTTGTTTTCTGCTCTGTTTTTTTAAACATAAGAACCGCCTGAATATCTCGTACACACCAGATTTCTCATCTCATCCATCATACCACCTTGAAAATGCTGTTAAACTCTCAAGTGTGATCGGTGTCTGCAGGGCAGTAGGAAAGAAGCTTATCTGGGATAGTGGCAGTAGGTTCCCTGATCTTGCAGTTTGCACTAGTTTTTGGCTCTTTTCCCGTTAAATGCAATTCTGTGTTACTCCTAATTTGTTCAATTCGGTTTTAATTGGAGACTTTCCTAGATATTGTGTACTTGATACATCTGGTCAATGTTTGGAATATTATGCATACATAAAATCCGTGCGGTTGCTGTAAGGGTATAATAAATTATATTCTTAAAGGAAAGGAAGAATGAAGGGAGGCTGCTGCAAAAGTAACAGCAAGTAAGAGCACTAGCTCCCCCTGATGTTTATGATCTTTAACATAAGTTATTGTTCTGAGTGAAATGAAACGAAAGAGATAAGCCATGCTCAGGTAGTGGGCTCATGGTGAACAATACCAGCTTGCTTCTGTAGTTCATAATTAATATATTTTCTTAGGCCTTTAAAAATATATGCATACAGTGAGTATGAACATTTGATGAATTCAGGGAAATGTTCATGCTGAATGTTTCTATTAACAATAGTAAATAGTATTAAAACACTCAATTTTTCAAGAGTTCTCTGCCATATTCAGAGCATTCACAACAATATTTTGATTTTGAACAGTTGTAATGCAAAAATTATATTGAATAATGTAATGATTACATGAATAAAATAGATGACAAGTCAGTTTTAATTCTGTGAATTGTTTTTCGTGGGTGTTTTCATGCCAGGTTTAAATTAAACAGCTTACTTTTCATAGGTGAAGTACAGTATTTCTACTCACTTTTGTTACCCAAAGCAATCTGACAGGCATGTCAAAAACATTCAAAGCCTTCACTGAACATTAGCATTGATGAGGCTATGGGTCGAGGAAAAATAATTCCTGAGATAAACAGAGTATTTGGGCAAATTCAGTAGCTCTTTTAATAACTTTTCCCATTCGTGCCTTCTGCACTTCCTAAGACAGGACTGATGGACATGTAATGTTGACAGGAATCTTACGTTACTTACTGACTATCTCACTTTGTTGTTTTGGTTTTTTTTCCAGATGGCTGTTGATCAGGCTCACAGGCAGAATTTGTCTTCTCTCTTTCTGCCAGTATTTGAATCTGTCAACCCATGCCTGATATTAATGGTACGGAGAGACAATATTGTAGGAGACGCTGTGGAAGTCCTAAGGAAAACAAAGAACGTAGACTACAAGAAGCCACTCAAGGTATGATCGGTACATATTGCTCAAAGTGTCTCTGACGTGCAAGTGATTGAGAATATTTTTGGGCAGATCTTGTTTCACAATCTGTTACTACTTCAGGGCTGACTGAATTGTGTGTTTCAGGTTATTTTTGTAGGAGAGGAAGCAGTTGATGCTGGAGGTGTTCGCAAAGAATTTTTCTTGCTTATCATGAGGGAGTTGCTAGATCCCAAATATGGAATGTTCAGATATTATGAAGAGTCCAGGCTGATCTGGTTCTCTGATAAGGTAGGGTGCAATCTGTAGTCATTCATTTTCTTTTAGTGTACGATGTGTATATTAATAATAGATCAACATAGTAGTCTGTGCTGGTTTTATTTCAAGAGCAGAAGCTGGAGTAAGTATTCTCAAAAAATTTTTATTTTGGTCATTGCTAGGTCAAAACTTTCCCCTTGTTTCTTACCAGTGGTCCTTAACAGTTGTCTCCAAGCCAGACAAGTTTAGTAGGAAGAAGGGCCAGCCAGAGTAAACTGATTCCAAGAACTGAATTGGTAAAACAAGTTGGCACTCCGAGGGAGTTAATAGTGAACTCCTCCTCCCAAAAATTATTTTTTAAAAAACTGACATATATTTAAGCATTGAATAGTGCAGTAGCAAGTCTGACATAACTCCACTGACAAACCAGAACCTTAATGCAGTGCTTCTGGTGGTGTGTGTCACTTGTAACACAAAATGTGTTGTATTTCAGCTTTTAATTTCTTTACTTAAAAACCAATTCTCTTTCTTTGTATTTCAGTCTCTCTTAGCTGGTTAAAACTTTATTCTGTTTTCCTCAGTACATACATATTTAACGAAAATCTAAATGAAACTCAGATTATACTGCACTTTATGCTTTGTTCTAGACTCTGCAAGATTAAAGTAACTTTTTTATTTTAAACCATCTTGTCTGTTTTCTGTTCTTAGACCTTTGAAGACAGTGACTTGTTTCATTTGATTGGTGTTGTCTGTGGGCTAGCAATATATAATTTTACTATTGTAGACCTTCATTTCCCTTTGGCTTTGTACAAAAAGCTATTGAATAAGAAACCATCCCTGGATGATTTAAAAGAGCTGATGCCAGATGTCGGCAGGTAAGCAAGAAAGAAAAATGAACATCACTAGGAATTAATTTTTAATTCAACATTGCCCTTTATGAACATAAAGAAAATATGTTACTTTCACACTAACGATACAAAGAGCTCAGAGTACCTTGGAGTCATCATGTCATTTGAGAAAGGATACTTGCTGTTGTTAAACTCCTGCTTCTAAATGCTTGGTTTTAGTATTTGTCTTCTGGTTTATTGTCCTACAAGAATTTTAGGGGAAAATAATACTTGAAATTCAAATCCTTTTGAGTTTTAGCCATTAATTTTACCACCTATGTGTACATAGGTTTAGTTCTGAACAGCTTTAGACCATCAATAAAACGTTTTTGCTTATTTCAGGAACATACACGTGCCAAGTATCTGCCCTTGAGTAGGGATTTGAAAACCATTAGTGCGTAGAAAGCTCAAACGAGCAAAAGTGAATATTTGATTGCCTCACTGTTGTGAGTGCTTAAGTTTTCATAGATTCAAGGAGAAATCAAACAAGTTAATGGTCATTAAGTACTTACTGCCTCTGGTTTGGGAATCCCTTAGCTGAAGACCAGGATTTGAATCTTCTCTCTTCCAATTATTCTTCTTCTCTTATTCCAGAGATAGTCAAAAGGAAATAACACCACAAGCATTAGCAAAAGAATTGCTTGAGATTTTCCAGCACTGCACAAGGTGCAGGTCAATGAGCTAATAAACTAAGTAACAATAGGAAGATTCTAATTTTTTTTAATTATCAAAACATAAAGAATAATTCAGGAAAACAAGTTCATCATTCTTTCCACTGGTACAAGTACTTGGTAACTTATTTTGCAGGGGAATGCAACAATTACTGGACTATCCAGAGGATGACATAGAGGAAGCCTTTTGTCTTAATTTTACTGTAAGTTTTATATAGTGTTTGAAATATTTATTATCAAGTTCATATCATCTATTGTAACTGCCTCCGGGGTGTGTGAGCCAAAGTATCGGCTGGGGACTCCCATGAATTTTAGCATCTCTGTCTGCCATTCATGTGGCTGTTAACTAAGTGATGAGAGGTAGTGCTCTGTGCAGTAAAAAAGATTTATACTGTTTTTGTTTTAAATAGATCACTGTGGAAAATTTTGGTACAACGGAAATCAAAGAGCTCGTTCCTAATGGTGCTGACATTCCTGTAGTCAAACAAAATAGGTGAGTTTTGTGGGTTTCAGGGTAGTTCAGTGACGCTGCCTGCCTTGGGAGTGTAACTGAGCTGCTGTGAATATGCTTTGCTGAGCTGTTACACTGATGTCAGAAGCAAAACTGCTCCTGTTGTTTTTCCACGGTGTTCTTGTGTATTGTTAAAGTAGCTATTGTATTTAAGGATTTGTCTGCTGCAAAGAAACTATCTAATTATACTCAGAATGCTTAATGCCTCTCTTTGTCTTTGAATTTAAAAGTCTTTTGAAGCTCTTCGGAGTTTATTTTGACACCATGGTCTTCATTGTGTAAGATAAAAATGGTTGTGGTTCTGCGGGAAATTATATGTAGTTGGAATTTAGTGAGTAATGACGAAAGCTTCAACTGTGATGCCATCATGTGGCAACTATTTATATGCAAAATATTATTTCAGATAAATCTTCCATTTGTAGAGTGGATAAATTGATATTATCTAGTGTTACTGTCAGAAGAGTGTGTTCTGCTCCTAGAGAACAGGCAGAATGTATGTCGTGGTGCTCCTGTCCCTTTTTGCAGGATACTGCCATTTTCCTATTTCTTTCTATTCCTCTCATGCGTTCCTGTCTGGTCTTTGGTCCTCCAGAGTTCTCCGTGCTTTTACTTCTCCCAGAGTAAAGGGAGAGTCAAATGGGAAGAGCATACTGAATGAGAGCAGAACATAGCTAGGCTGTGCGTGGTAGGAATGAGGAAGAAAATGTACCTCCAGGCATGTTGCTAGAGGGCAGATGTTTGAGGGAGCGTTTTCTGTAAATAGCTGGATCTGTCACAGAGGACAGAGTGGTGATAGAAGGTTCTGAGGCTGTCACAGCCACGTGCAGTGACAGAACCTCTCACAGTGGAGCGGGAGTTTCCGTATCCTCGCTCTTTGCACTCTTCTTTCTACTGCCTAGGACTCAGATGGCTGTTTGAAGTTTATTTCAATGTTTAGTGCAAATATGGTAATATTTTAAATGAAAAACAGAGCAGTGGGTTTGACTAGTTGGTTCGAGGACGCTGTGTGTAATCCCAGCCTTTAAGCTTGTTGCCATTAAGTCCAGTTCACTGCAATGCATACAAAGAAGAGAAATGTTTATAAAGCCTGAAATAAATAATGCTAAATGTCATTGTTTTTTCTGTTGCATGATACAGACTTTGTCTTAGGCAATGAGAAAATACATTTATGTGCATTTTCACTGAGTTTATCTCCAGTATGTAGCATAAAGCAGGGAATATAACATATTAAGATCCTTTTTGCTTGACTTTCTATTCTGTGTTCTTTACAGAAACAGCTACTGTTTTATTGGAGTGATGTGACTTTTTTTTTTCCTCTTAACATGATTGTTTTTTTTCTTCTTTGTACAGGCAAGATTTTGTAGATGCGTATGTAGATTACATCTTCAATAAATCTGTGGCTTCCTTATTCAGTGCATTCCATGCAGGCTTCCACAAAGTATGTGGAGGTAAAGTTCTTCAGCTCTTCCAGCCCAGCGAGTTGCAGGCAATGGTAATTGGGAACACAAATTATGACTGGAAAGAACTGGAGAAGGTAAGAGCCATCATTAGCTATTTGTTACGTATAGCTTTATTTCAAGTCACAAAAGCAAAATCTTCAAGTGTCCTTTTGAGCTCTGTTTTAATGTGACTTAAGACGTTGATTAGGTTGACTGCACGAGTGAGGAACCTTTTTAAAAAATGTCAGTGAGTGAAGACACTGAGTAGTTACTTACCTTCTTGCTTAGAGTTTTTCAGTCTGATTTCAGAAGGAAATCAGATGCGGTAGAAGAGAGAAGAAATAAAATCCACAGAACCAAAAGGTAGCTGTATACAATAGTACTACATGAGAAAGGGGAAAATCAACAAAATGCCACACAATTAATAAGACTAAATAGTCTTGAAGGCCTAAACTCACAGTGAGACTTTGCCAGGACTTCGTCGGGATTGAAAATGCCTCATAATACGGACATTGGTCCATCTAGTTGAAGTCGGGCTGAACAGTCGAAGAAGATTGACAAGGAAAACAGTGATATGTCTGTCGCTTGCAGTATCCATTTACACAAACCACGTGCATTCTGCTTTAATGTCAGATTAGCCTAATAGTTCTGTGTGTGAACAGTAACAATCTCCTGCTCGTTTCAGAATACGGAATACAAAGGAGAATACTGGGCAGAGCATCCTACGATTAAAATATTCTGGGAGGTTTTTCATGAGTTGTCTTTGGAGAAGAAAAAACAATTCTTGCGTAAGTATTTGAAACTACTTGCAGAAGTTGCTAAGTGAACAGGATCACTGGGATTTCAGGCTCTTGCTAGAAGAGGGCAGACGTAAGTATTTGTCTATAATGATGTGAATTATTTGGAAGAAAAAAAAAACGTAGTGGAAGAAATTGATTATCAGCTTGGTTCTGATTTTGCTGGGGTTGTCCTGAGTAATCATGGGTCATGGACAGTTAAAAGATCACAGTAGGCCAAAGCATCATTAAAAAAATAAAGAAACAAAAGAAAACCCAGACCCCAGAAAACCCCAACAGTCCAAACCGCTAATGTCATTTATCAGATGACTAGGAGTTTTTTTCTGTGTTTCAGCATAAGGTTTACATCCTCATTTTTTCGTTGCACGTAGATGGAATTTTGGAGTTACAACTGATTTTTTTTTTCCCCCTGAACATTTCCACTCCTACGAGTACCTTGACATATTTACAAAGTTATTGAAACTTTTTGTGAGTGAGCATTTGTTGAGAGTAGATCATAGATTGGTTTCCAGTTGAGATAAGTTTCTTATTGAACAAGCTAGTGCTGTGTATTTACAGGATGCTTGCTAAAGCTCAGTACAAGTGTAGCCAATGGATTCTAAATAACAAATTCTGATGCACGAAGAACCTTTTTTGTTGGTGGTGTTAAGGACTGTTGGGTGTCATATGCTGAAGTGAGATGTTTTCCTTTATGTATCACTTGTGTTGCAGTTATGTGCTCCCCCCTGTAAGCTGGAGATTGGGTTAAGTCATTGTTGCCTGTTTTTTAAACTCAGCAGAACAACTTTGGTGCGAAAAGTTAACGGTTGCGGAAGTAATTAAAAAATACAGTGATTAGAACTGCGTATACGACATACACGATGTCACTGTTACACTGCTTTCAAGACTCCATTGGTTTGTTTGTTTGTTTTTTCTTGGCAGTGTTTCTGACAGGCAGCGATCGTATTCCGATTCTGGGAATGAAGTGTCTTAAACTAGTCATCCAGCCAACCGGAGGCGGTGAAGGGTATCTTCCGGTAGCTCACACTTGCTTTAATCTTCTCGATCTTCCAAAATACACAGATAAAGAAACCCTAAAATCTAAGTTGATCCAGGCTATAGACCACTACGAAGGTTTCAGTTTAGTATAACTTCTGGAATGGGAGTTCTGTGTAACATGGGATCATTAAACTAACTTTTTGTGTCTTTCTTGTGGTAAATTGAGTGGATTAAATGGAGGAGTTGATAATATAACTGATTATTTGCGAAGCTGTTCAGTGGTACGGATATTCATGGGAGCCAAAAAACATTTACAAAAACGAGGAACTGTCTTAATACTTACCTTCCTGTACAGAACCATGTGGATTTTGCCATCTTACAAATAAAACCGAGAGTATTGTGAACGAGAATCAAGTTTCACTAACATGACTTAACATTTCACCTTACGCAAATGATTTGGCGTGTGAGTGCATGAGAGACTTGCTTAAGTTTTTCAAATCACTTAGTAAGAACGTTTAACTTTTTCCCTGATAAATTCACTTGGTAACTTTTCATTTTGTAAATAATGAATTTTTTGTGATAAAATAATTATGTTCCAATACCTGTATGGTTTCTATTGCTTGTAATTGAATATGAGCTTATTTTATGGCTTTTAACAAAAAAGTGACTACTCTGATTTCTGAAGATATATATTTTTCTGGTTTGTTTTAAGAACCTTAATAATTAAAGTGATTGTTTAAGAGACATTCATCTTCACAATGTACAATCTGTGAAGCGGTCGCTCAGTGCTGGTACAAAACTGCATACAATGGCGTTTTTAATATGCGGATGGACGAGCTGACTTAATACACTGTTTTACTTTTAAGGACTGATTCTCTAATTAAGTGGACACAAGTAAAAAAGAGGTTAATTTAGCACTTGAAACCTCTCCAGCCATGTGTCAAGAATGCAGTTTAAAAGAAAAAGATGCACCAGACAATTGCTGCCGACAAGAGGTTAAACGTTTATTTTTAAATGCTGAAAGCGTAGTTTATGGTTTTAATAGAATTTTCACTTTTTTCCAGATAAATGCATTTGAAATAACTCTTTAACACCCCCCCTCCCCTTTTCTTAAGATTTTATTTTTAGTATAATTGCCCTGAGACGATTGTGCTTAGCTGGACACTTTCGGATTTGACTTTCCTTCTCTGGTTAAATTCCAGATTTTGTGGTGTTAATGCATATGTGACTTGCAGCTGTGAAACAAATATTTATTTTTTTTAGATTTTTAAATGCAGTGAAAAAATTCAAGCTATAATAAAAGACTTGAATGAATACCTTTGTTGGTTGATGTGTATGGATGCTTGCATCGTGCATGTTTTCCGTTGGAGGACTGCCTCTGCGTGCGTTGAGTCGTCAGCACAGCTGGGATACGGAGACCTCGCCTGAAAAGCAGGGGAATTTGTGCATCGTAATAAATTGTATAACATGCAGCTCCTATGCCAGCAGTACTTGTGGGTAGAATACAGAGCAGTCACTACAGTTAAAATCATTCTTTTTCCTTAACACTGTGGTTTTACAGCTTTCTCATGCAGTGTAACCTCTAGTAATTTCTTTGTATGCAGCCCATTTCCCATCTTCTCCAACACTTGTTACTTGACTGGGAAATTCTCCCTCTTGTGAAAGGTGAGAAACCAACAAATACTAAAGCGGATTAATCTTAATATACATGGAAGAAGGAAAAGGAGAAAAGAGAAATTAAAAAACAAGTATTATATGTTCATTTTACCAGGTAATTTTAAAAGACTGTTTTTAAATTAGGAAACACCAGGGTTGCAAAGGCAATATTAAAAAATAAATATAAAAGATATTAAAAAATCTGGAAGTGGCTCTTGTAAAGCTGTCTTCTTCCTTTTTCCCTTATGTATTAATACATGATCAAGTGCTGGTTGGTGGTTTTTTTCTCCGTGGGACTCTTGCTTCCTTCCGTGTACACAGTTGATGGTGTTCACTGAATAACGGGGGGGATTTTATGTTCAGTTGTGCAGGTCCAAGTCTAATTTAGTGGGTATCATCTAAACCCAGCACTTTATATACATACTTAATTTCCCTGTGAGACTTAGATCTCTGATTTTTTTTCTGTATTAGATTTTTCTTCAGCAATCTGAAAGATTCATTAATCTGAAAGATGAATAATAGCCTTATTCTGTAGATGGGAGGGGTCTGAGACAGATTCCAAGCCATAGTGGCCAATCATTTGCCAATTTTTAGTGCCCAATTTAGGATATCCTAGAGATTTCTGATGTCCTTTATCTTTTTTAAAGCGCAGTTATTGGTGACTAAAACTGCTGTGGCAATTTACTTCATGTTGCTGCAAAAGATTCTCCAGCATCAGCCAGACATACCTCTTAACTCTCTTGGAACATCAGTGGACACCAGTAAGTGCTGGGAGGGTTGGGGGCGTTGGAGGGTTAGTTAAATGTGAGTCATCAGTTAAATGTCACGTTAAGAATTCACTGGCAGAGCGGGGAGGGCGCCCCTTTCCTTGCGATAGCATTCACCTGAGACTTCTTTCTGCAATTTTGGCCTCGGTTTTGTCCACCTCTGCAAGAAATGGAGTTGGGTCCTAGGGAACGTGACTGTATTTGCTCAGTGCTCCTGATTTATCTTACAGGTGTTAGCTCAGGCTGTGCAGTGAGACAGGTGCCCCGTTGCAAAGCAGACAGTGCCTACATAACAAGGTAAAATACTTCTGTGTAGTACTAGAACAATTACTAGTTGTTACTTTCTGTCAAATAATTAAGTACTTTCTGCTGCCAGTTAGTTGGGTGAACAGTTGTACCAGCCCTGTGAAGGCTCAAGCATTGCCTCTGGCTGTAAGGGGAACTGCTTGCTGTTTCTCGTAGCAAGTATCCTTTTGCATACAATATTTGATGCTGTGCGTCAAATGAGAAAGGGAGGAAAAGATCTCTGCTTTACTGAACTAGACATGGTGTTAACAGAGCCTTTCTCCATATTGAATTGCCAATTAATCAGGAAGGCTCACGTGCCACTTTTAAAATGATAATGGGAGTGACTGGGTGATGGTAGTAGTTTGGGCTTCAGTGAGAGCATGTTACAGTAATTAAGAATCTTCAAAGGGAGTATTTTAATTTGAGAATTAGATTAGCATTTTCATAAAGAATCAGAATCATCACTGGAGAATGGTAGATGCACGTCAAACTTGCATGCATCTCTGGGGTGGTTACTAAAGGAGAACTTGCCGCAGCAGCGTAGTGGTGTAGTGGATTTATCGCAGCCGCTGCCGGGGTGCCGGGCTGCAGGTGGAATGTGATGGAACGACACAGGCTCTTCCTCCACACTTAGAGCACAGGACAAACTGTCCCTCGTTTTCCATGGGAAAATCAAAGAATGCTGCTGCCTTGTGCCAGTGTAGAGCTGTGAAAGCAGGGAGCCCTGCTTAAGCGTAACGACTTGGCTCATTTGGCACGTTGTGGGTAATGTTACTGCTGAAGTTGTTATTAATGCAGAGCATCAAGCTGCTGTATTCCCTTCAAAAAAGTTTTTGTATGGTACTTTAAATGGATTTTAATTCATCATTCTGCTCTGCTGCAATAAACTTGATTTATCAGGAATAAATAAAGTTCAATCAAATACAAACTACTATAAATGAGAGCTTTTTAAATAAAGGCAGAATGAGGTTCTGCAGTTACGATAAACACAGAATAAAAGCCTTCTTTCAGTAATGCAGTTTTCAGCATGATAGACTGGTGTATAGTGGGCACCACAGGAATGGCTGTGTGGACTTCTTCTGAGGAGCAACCACAACGACGTAGCTGGGGAGCGTGTACAACTGTGCTAACTCTGGAGGCAGGGGGATAGGAAGAACAAAAGATTTATTTCCCTTGATGACAGTTCCCATTGCTTTCTTAATTAGTGGGTCAGCGTAGGGTTTGGGCAAAGTAATCATCAAGCTACTGTTTTTGTCTTTCTACGTGCTGTTCAGGTTTGTGTTGATCAGTTTGGAGCCATAACTTTAAAGGTCTTACCTAGACCTCAGAGAGCTTACAGTTCCCTCCATCCCTTGCCGTAGTCAGATCTATCCACTTTAGAGCCCCAGGCACTGTCCTGGTCTGCTTTCCTGAGCCCTTGTGCCGGGCAGAGCTCGTGTGTGCGGTGCTGGGGGATCCTTTTCGCTG